GCCGCGCGGGGGGGGGGGGGGGCGGGGCCCCCCCCATAGCCGCATTCCGGGGGCCAGCGCTCTCTCCCCCCTCCCTCCCCCAAGCGCCACGAGCCCGGGGCCGGGGCTCTCTCTCCCCTCCCTCCCCCATGCGCTGCGGGGGGTGAATCCGTGGCGCCCCCGGGGCCGGCGCTCACAGTGCGCCACGCGCCCGGGGCCGGCTCCGGCATCGCGCATGCGCCACGTGCCCAGGGCCAGGCCAGCCCTGAGCACTTGGCGGGCGCCGAGAAATGCCCCTGCGGGCGCCATGGCGCCCGCGGGCACCGTGTTGGGGACCACGGGTCTAGAATAATGCTTAGCCTTATCGTGAATGCTGGGGAGTGGACCACATGACCTCTTCAGGCGCTATGATTCTATGATTCCCTCAGCAGACTTTTCTTGGATTTAAGTTCAGCTGTAGGATGCTTTTTCTTCTGCTCAGCTTTGTAAAATATTATTGCTTGTTCCTGGAGTGACTGTTCTGTGACTGCTACAGGATTGATCAAAGCAATGCTCCACACATGACAGCTACTCGAAATTAAAAGTGGCAAAGTTACACTGACTCAGCCTAGGGCTGTAAACCACTCCTGGCACCCATTGCCACTTGTTTGCTGAATCACCAAATTCATAATTGTGGTATTGCTATTTGCTTGGCAGGAACACTATGGCTGTCTGAAGGGGCTCACAATAAGTTGGATTGGTGATGGCAACAATGTCCTGAACTCCATCATGATGAGTGCTGCTAAATTTGGGATGCATTTGCATGTTGCTACTCCAAAGGTAAGAGAGTCCTGAACTTGGAGGAAGGGAAGCAACACTTTCTAAGACTCAAGTTCCAGTCTCAGACACTTGCATGCTTCCCAGAAGCTGCACATCTGGCTAGGCCAGCGATGGTCAATAATTTTTGCAGGGAGGGGCCACTTCACGAATTTTGGTTTGTGGTCATGAGCTGACACCAGCCCCCCAGCAGGGGCGGTGCCTCAGGTGGAAAGGGGCTGTTCCCTCTATTTAAATCATTGCTCTGGGGTGAGACTGGGGATGAGGAGTTCAGTATGCAGGCTGTCCTGGGAGAGAGGACAACCCCAGTCCTCTCTCACCTCAGCAACTTGCAGCCGGGTGAGAAGCACCTGTCCATGGCTACTGCTCCTGCAGTGGGCATAGCCATGGGATGGGGGCATGTCTCCCAGCTAGGAACAGACACATATAGTGAGACAAACTCAAATATATAGTAGATTTGTGTGTGTCCTGAAGGGTTGACAGAGAATACTTCCCTTCAGAGGTAAGTGTGTAGGGGGGAGTGAGGAGCAAGATTTTCTTTGTTTTATAGTAAAATTTTTGACATCTCATGATGCCCCCAATTTCCTTTCTGATTTAGAAACACAGTTAGATTGAGAGGAAGAGAGTGGCAACCTGGAATATAAAACTTCTTGCCTTTCCTATTTGGTATCTGAGTTGCCTTCATTTCAGTGGATGTGCATGTTTCGTTCAGTAGACTTTTTACATAGATTTTCATTTCTATATAAATAATTAAAATATAACATGACTCATTGGGCTAGGGACTGCCCTTCTACAATATGTTTGTTCAGCACTATACTGAATGGCTACGTCTAGATTGCATCCCTTTTTCGGAAAAGGGATGCAAATTAGACGTATGGCAATTGCTAATGAAGCGGGGATTTAAATCTCCCCCACTTCATTAACATAAAAATGGCTGGGGCTTTTTTTCGGCACGGAGCTTTGCCGGAAAAAAGCACCAGTCTAGATGTGGATCTTTCGGAAAAGGCTTTATTTTCCGAAAGATCCCTTATCCCTCTTAAAATAAAGGACAAGGGATATTTCGGAAAAGGCTTTATTTTCCGAAAGATCCCTTATCCCTCTTAAAATAAAGGACAAGGGATATTTCGGAAAAGGCTTTATTTTCCGAAAGATCCACATCTAGACTGGTGCTTTTTTCCGGCAAAGCTCCGTGCCGAAAAAAAGCCCCAGCCATTTTTATGCTAATGAAGTGGGGGAGATTTAAATCCCCGCTTCATTAGCAATTGCGATACGTCTAATTTACATCCCTTTTACGAAAAAGGGATGTAGTCTAGATGTAGCCAATGAGGTCCTGATCCTGACGAATGTTCTAAGCAACTTCACAGGTGATTAATCAGCCCCGCCCAGTCAGAGGCTCAGGGCTCCCATGCAGCTTAGAGGGAACACTGATCCTGACTTGGGCCTTTCAGCACCTACTTAAATATAAACAATAGACTTGAGGGGAAGGACATTGGCTTCCCAAAGAAGTTCAAAATTTTGCTTTATTCCAAATTAAAGTGAAACTTGGAAGTTTCAGAATTTTCTGAGAGTGAAAATTACAAAGAACCCCTTTGCTTTATACTGACTGAAATGTTTCATTTAGACAAAATTGTTTGTTTCAATTTTATCTTAAAATCTGATAACATATAGTATAACACAGAATACAAAATCAAAATGAAAAATTGAAATATCCTGTTTCAAAAATGTCAGACTGGAATTTTGAATAAGTGTTGTAATGCCTTGTTTGAGAGGCCTGGCATGGGATAAGTGACTAACATTTGGAAGAAGGCCTCAATATTTATTGGATGATAAGATTAGGGAGATGATAGATCACTGGGCTGAAAACAGAAACATTTGTGCTAAATAAGATAAGTAAATAGGTCAGTAGACTAAAAAGACAGAATGTATGAGCCAGCTAAGATAAAAGGGAGACTAGCCAGGGAAACATTTAATAGGAACAAGAATAACATTATATAGACAGAATATGCTACACAGGAATTGGTTCCTGCAAAGTAACCAAATCAATCCCAAAGCATGTAATGCAATATGTCCAAATCTATATAGAGAAAAAGGTTTCCTGGGTAACTTTGAATGTGTGCTATGTCTTACCCACCATTCAAGTCTGATCAACGCAGCTTAGCCTTGCTGCTTGCCAACTAAAAATATGTGTGACAAAGTCTGAAGTAGAGCAGATTTCTTGGGAAGCCAAGTGGTAAGAGTTCTTGAAGGGAATCCCAAATAACCTTTCCTCAGTTTTTTTCCCAAATGGATTTCAGGAAAATTGACACAGATTTGAGGAGTATTTTGATTTTGACAGAACAAGCATTCTCCTGTGGGAAATGGTTCCATCAAAATTTTTTGACCAGCTCAATAAAATAATAATGCAAATGTGCACGGTAATGTTATCAACTTTTTGACAGGGCTTTGGACCGGACCCCAACATCATTAAAGTAGCTGAAGAATACTCCAAAGAGGTACGAGTTGATATATTACGTATTGTTTACTTTATGTTTTAAATGAAATTGTCTGACCTCCACTGCCTTACTCATATTAGTATGGCACCAAACTGTTTTTCACGACTGATCCCTTGGAAGCTGCAAGTGGAGCCAACGTCCTAGTCACAGACACGTGGATAAGCATGGGACAAGAAGAGGAGAAGGCAGAGCGAATGAAGGCCTTCCAGGGTTATCAGATCACAATGCAGGTAATGGTCATGCTGATACTGTTTTGTGAGTGATGGGATTTGGAGCTTATGTCATGATAATGTGAGAAGCTCCTGCCCTCTTATGAATTTCAGCCCTGTAGAAAGTAGGGTTGCCAGATGGTTTCAACAAAAATACTGGACAAACTTGACATTACATCACAATCTACATTACATCTTATTGAGAAAATACCGGACATTTATATTTTCTCATTTATATTTTCTCAATTTGTTTCCCTGAACAGAAAGCTCAAATACCGGATTGTCCGATTCAAAACTGGACACCTGGCAACCATACTTGGAAGCTGGCTGAGTCTCTCCCCTTGACTTGCTATTCTCACAAGGAAGGGCAGGGGAGGGCTATGTGCAGCTCAGAGAAACTCTATTCCCACCTCCTGTGAGAAACATAGACAGAACTAGGTCTCTATTTCACCCCCTCTCTTTCCCCTGTTGCAGTACCTGGCCTGAGTGGGGGCAAAAAGAGCTGAAAAGCCCCTTGAGTTGCCTCCTCCAGCCTGGTAAGAGAACAGGGGACCTGCTGAAGGCCCCTTCTAGGTCAGGAACAAAGGACTGAAGAACCCTAAGAGTAGCAGAGCTGAGGCTGTGGGGCTGGTCTGGACTGAGTGGGGTGGTGGCTGATGGGTGCAAGGACTGAACTGAGGGTGGGGGCTGAGTGAGGACAAAACTGAGGGGGGAAAGAGACAGGATTAATTGCTGGATAAGGGATGGGCACATGAGGGATGAGAGCTCCTTCAGCAGAAGCCAGAATTACCTTTCCCAATACATTCGGGAAAGTAAGTGAGTGGGTGCCATGCGCACACACACTGGGGAAGGGCAGAGGAGAGTTTGGAAATCTAAAGACAGACCAAAAAAACCACAATAGAATATTTGTTTAAAAGCCTTCCAAATTTTGGGGTTGTGATGGTGTCAGACTCATGATTTTTGGTCTGTTGAGGTTAGCAGTACTGAGTTTATTTGGTCTAATCCACTCTTGTAGGTTCCATGTTTAAATCAACCCTATCAAAGCATTCATTTTATAGTTGGTATAGGATGGGGCATGGGTATCGGTATGCGCTTCACACCAACACAAAGCCCCCTAACCAGCACAATTGCTGTCTCAATTACCTGAGGCTTCCCCTGCCAAACTGTCCCAACCTGGCCTTTCTGGCGTGGGACTTTGCTACTAGATGCACACATCTAGAGCACGAACAGAGGGGAGCATCAAGGGTTTACTTCTCCCTATCTCAAGGACTCTGTATTTAACTTTCTGCTCCTCTCTGCCCACCCCAACTTATTATATCCACACTGCAAGAGAAGATCCCTTAAATGTCTCCCAGGCTAAGCTGCAATAATGCGCATATTGGAATTCATAGAGGGCACAGCCAGGGCACCATTTTGGGTAGATTAGCATGTATCTGTAAATGAGCAATGCTTTCAGTAAACATTTTTAAAAACCCATTTAGCTGAAATACTTATAAAAGAAACAACTGTTAGAGAAAATGGAAACAAACAAAACATTAACTGTTGGAATATAAATTATGATATTTTAGTCTTTATTATAATCAGTGACCTAAATGAACTGATTTTAACTCTAGTCCCCAAAATGCTAGTAGCAGAAATGGCTCAGCTTGCTTAAAAAGTTATAATCCTTTGATCATCTATTAGATCGATATAGTATGTGTTACTGATGCCAAAAGAATTAACCAGGACCTTTTTAGACCTGTTCTTAATATGCAATTATTGCCATTATCCATATATACTGCTGGCATTTGGCATTGCTGTCCAGAGTGTACTTATTGATCAACCTGTTGGTTCACCACAATTCTTGCTCTTCTTTCAAAGACAAAAGTTTCGGGGTGAAATCCAGGCCCCATTGAAATCAATGGCATTGATTTGAATGGGCCCAGCTGATCACTCTGTATTCTGATCTTATTCACACTGGTGTCAATCTAGATTAACTCTGCTCACATCAGAGAATTACTCCAGGTCCACAGAGTGTAAATGAGACAGAATCTGGCCCAAATTTTCTCTTTCTCACTAAAGATCTTGGTAATATACCATCACTTTGCTCACCTCTGTCATGCTTTTTTTATCTTTAGACTGGAAAAGCTGCAGCTTCTGATTGGACTTTTTTACACTGTTTACCAAGAAAGCCTCAAGAAGTTGATGATGAAGTATTTTATTCTCCACGGTCACTGGTTTTCCAGGAGGCTGAAAACAGAAAATGGACAATTATGGTATGAAAAGCAAATAAGAACAGTTAGGGGTTATGCAGTACTTGGCTATTGTTCTGCCCTTTGATCCAGATTTTGATTTAGCATGACTCTTCAGTATAACACATGCCTTAATATAACTGTTGCAAAACCCTGCCCTAACAGGTCACAGTTTTAAGTGCATCACATTTATTGTGAGAGACAATGTCAGTTCTTTTCTGCTTTTACCTTAATCTACTCTTGCTTGACCCAGATTGTTTTAATTGGGGGAGCTCTCCTTTTTTAATTGCATTTTTTATATGGAGTTATGCTAGCAAGTAGCTTGAGTCTCGTATACACTTAAAACTTGGGTTGACACACCTTGAGTGGCATAGCTTTGCTGACCTAGACTCCTGGTGCAGCTGCTGATAGGCCGATGAAAGCATTCTTCCACTGATCTAGCTACCATCACTTGAGGAGGTGCAGTTATGACAGCAATGGGATACCCCTTCAGTCACTGTAGTTCATGTTTACTCTACCCTATAGAATTACGGCACCATAGCTACACTGCTGTAAACAGAGTGTTGACAGACTCTAAGCTCCACCTCTTCCAAACACTCCAAATAGCAATCCCAAGAATGGTGCTATAAAGGCTACATTTAAAAAAAATGTTTATAGCAGATGACATCAGCGATCCTGTAATCCTTTGTAAGGCTGAGCTGCCATGTTATAGTGTGAATTTTGCTTAAAGAAGGATTGCAAAATGAAGCCTTTGAGGTAAAAGTATGTGCTCTCTATTTACATATAGGGCTTTGGTGCTGGATATTGCAAAGTATACTATGCGACCTACAAGAATATAGTTAGCATTAAACGCAAATTGTAACTCCACCCTCAATATTCCTACCACTGTCCTATTTTCCACAATTTGGACTCACTGTAGATTTTAGAACAGTCATGCTAAGAAAGGTAGTGAAACCTCGACTTCCCCAAGGTGAGGAAACAGAAATGGAGTCACCAACTTGCCTTTCTCTAAGCATAGCTTTCCAGTCAAGTATTACTGTAAAACTGTCAATATAAATTAGAGTAATACTTCGACAGAAACAGATGAAGAACAGAAGTGCAGGGCCTGTGTATACAAAAACAGAGAGGAAAACCAAATCCTATTTAGGTACAATCTTTCTTCTCTTTGACTGCCACTTTCCAATACTCTCATTTTATAATGACAGGTATATCTAAGGATTGTCAGAGAGCATGAAGCATAGCAAAGAAGTTTCATGACAGACAATACAGTCAGGGTTTTCTATTTTATGGGGCAACAACAACTGTGGTTAAACTGGTCCAAATGTCAATGTCCTTACTTAAGTAAAACTGCCATTGATGTCCACAGAAATTTTGCTCCTGTCTGCATTGAGGATCAAATTTAGCATCCATATACATGAGTGCAGATCAGGAGTAACTGCAGACAGAGGTTAGTCAGTTAAAAAGATTTCAGAATTTGGTCCAGTATTGATACTGGTTCTAGCATTTTTTTTCTTGAACTCTCCTATTGTACATTCTTGTGTGGTGTGCACAGAGGAAACATATTGAATACAAACAAAACACTATAATTTTTAGACTCTTTGATGTTTCACAATTGGAAATTCTAGAAAGTAAATCTAAGCATGCAATTTCTGCTGGGAAAAATAATTTTCAGCACAGAGCCTTGGAACTCAAAAAATATTTTTCCCTGTTTATTTTCTTTGCAGTGTCTGTTTCCAATATGATCGGGTTTTTTTTCCTCCCCCTCTAGGCTGTCATGGTTTCCCTGCTGACAGATTACTCACCACAGCTGCAAAAACCTACATTTTGATGCTTGGATTCCTGCCAAGAGAAAATATTCCTCACCAGCAAAGTATTCTGGTCTGCAAATATATAGCTATCTTTCACACAGGATCAAAGCAATGAATGATTCCTTAATAAAACTGCATAGGCTGACTCTGCTGAACTGTATAATATTGCTTTGCACTCATGAAAACCTTGGAGATGAACGATGCGAATTAAACTGTGCAGCATTGCGATAGCAGTGCTTTTTCTAGATGCTTTAAGTTGTGTCACTTTTGTATCGATTCATGTCTCTTAAGTTTTCCAAAGCTGTAGTTTAATGAAAAGATCCATTATTATCATAAGCAGTGGTTTATGTATGTAGTGGTAGAACTGGTGTTGCAAGCCTCCAGATCTATTATATAACCTCTGTGCATCTGACCCTAAATCTGTTGGATTTTCTTGTTGATCTTGGGGCACGTGTGCAGAGAACTAGCACCTTCTTGCTATATTCTGGGACCTCAGCAATTTTCCTAGCTGCACCCTGGCCACCTTGTGACCCGCACCTCAATCTGGGTTTGAGGCTGTCATAGAGATTCTATCAGATTATCGTAAACAGGAAGATTGTTGAGGTCTGGCTGGAGCATAGTGCTGTAGCGTACACACTGAAGACTGCCACAGAGTTGGGTATGGGTGAAGGAGTATGGCTAATTAGTATGGATTGACTACGCTTCCTTGCCCCCACTCTGTCATCTCCCACAGACAGAATTTGGGCTAATGAAGCAAATTGTCCATTTTTTTCATACTCTCTGTGGCAAAAAGCAGAGGTGAGGAGAGCCAAAGTGAATGTTGCTTTATGGTAGGAGTTTGCTCTAGATTTCATCTAGCAGTGACTTGTGGTGTGCATACACATTAATTCCTCTTGGTAGTAAACAGAAGATTGTGAGAACTGTAGGTTGGTGGTGGATTTCTGAAATATCAATGAAAACTTTGCATACAGTGTTTTCAAAAAAATTCCCAATTTTTTCTTTTTAAAAACAGCTCATTGAAGAGTTGGATTTTTTAAAAAATTTGAAATTCCAGCAAAAATATAGATGAAAAAAACTCAAAATAATCTAGTGACTTTTTTCTGCAGTTTTGGACTAGCCCTAAACACTGCTTGATCCTCTCCACATAATTGTGAGCCACACATGATTGAAACAGCATTTTATGGGGATAACAATATTCCTTTGAAGCCCATTTGACTGCACAGTGTGTGATTCAGTTTTTCAAGTGCTGTGCTTGTCTTTCTCTTGTCCAGAATCACTTTTGACAGTAATGTCACATGAACAGGGAATTTACACCAAATTCATGTCCAGAATGGAAAAATGAATGATTTACTTTCCCCATCACGTGTGTGGTTATAGTTCAGAGGTTTGCACTATGGCATATGTATGGTTGTACTAGGTACTGCTTAGTGAATTAGACCTGAGTTCAACAAGATGCTTCAACATGTGTGTAGTCCCAGTGAACTTAATGAAACTAGTCACATGCTTAAAATTACCCAGCTGACTATGTACCTTGATGAATCAAAGCCTTAATGCTTGTTGAGATTTAGCCAATTACTTTTTGCCAGTCCTTTCCTGAAGTTTTATTTAGACTAAAACTAATCTTATTATGGTCTGGATTAATAAACTATAATCAAAGACAGATGGCTTTTGAATAACAATTTCATTGTTGATATTTTCAATGATAAATATTTTATAATAAATTCATTTAAAAAATCACTTTGTGTCCTCCCTCCCTTTCTGTGTTTTGGTTTCCTGAGCTGTAAAATGGACCTACTAATACTTTCCTTGCATCACAGGGGCATTGAGAGATTTAATGCATTAATGTATGCAAAGCACTCAGAGATCTTTGGATGGATAAATGTGCAAGGTACTCTTATGCCTTCCAAACGTGTCATGAATTCATTATTCTGATAAGCGAGAGATGACTGCAAATGAGGTGAGCAATGCAGAAGCAATAAAATGGAAAGATGTTATGGAAAAAATATTTTCCAGTAATAGCAATCAAAGAACCTAAAACAAATGTATATTAAGGGACAGCATGTAATGGCTTGCAGTACCCTTCCAAGTGTTTATTATGCTTTAACCAGTAGAAGTGTTACTTTCATTGGTGAAAACATCTTAACTATAGATTCTTTTTTATTTTACATGGCTACTTAGAATACCATGATTTCTGCAGGGATAGAACCCAGATTCTCTTTCTCCAGAAATGCTGTACCTTTCTTAATTCAGCTAAAGCAGAATTATTTCTAGTAGCATAAGGGGTATGATGCATAGTTAAGTGGTTATGACTACATCAGAGACCAAGGGGGGACACACATCTTAGCCAGTTCATTACAATACAGGCTGCACATCTATAAACCAGGACTCTCTGATCCAGCAGGACCATGGATGTTCCAGGATCAGAGAGAATCCTGGTGCACTGCGGGGCGGTGTGATGCAGCGGTGTGCCGGAAGCCTGGCACATGGCTCAGCTGGGCTGGGGGGTGGAGGGGAGTCGGGAAGCTCCATGTGTGGCCCAGCAGGGCTGCCCAGGGGAGCCGGAAAGCTTGGTGGGGCAGCAGGGTGGGGGATGGGACCAGTAGCAGAGGGGCCAAAAATGACCTCACCTGGTCCAGTAAAATCCCTCATCTGGTACCAGTGAAATCCCAAGGGTGCCAGACTAGGGAGGTCCAACCTGAATACTATAAAGACCAATTTAGCAGAGTAGGCAGTCTGAGCTGTGCTAGAGCATAGGAGGTGATGCCTGGTCTACATTCACAGGTGTAAATTTTTGAGTCAATGAGCAGGGTTTACAGCAGCTTGTGCATTCTGTAAGCCAGTGGTCTCCAACCTTTTTACACCCAAGATCACTTTTTAAGTCTCAGAACAGGTGAAGATCTACTGCCCCGCCCCTTCCTTGAAGCCCCGCCTACATTATATGTGGAAATCTAATGTAAATGTACTGCGCAGGTGCGCAGTTCAGAGAGGGCTCAAGAGCTACTCTTGGAGCCCCTGAGATCTACCGGTAGATCGCGATCTACTGGTTGGTGACCACGGCTGTAAGCAATTGCTCTTAATTTCACTACCAACTATGCTGGGCTCTTCAGTTACACCAAGGTGGTGGTCTGAAATGGACACAAAACTGCATTGCATGGGATTCCGGAATGAATCAGAATCTAATGCTCCTATGGATTTTTCCACAGAGTACAGGCTATATTGTTTGATAGTACCCTTGATTAGCCCTTTTCTCCCAATACAGAAATAGAACCATATGGAACCCACAGAAAACACATACAACTATGGTAAGATAGAAACTGAGAGCCTAAGAGCAAACAGACAATCCATAAAACGAGACAAAGTCAGTAGGAATGCCAGAATCAGCAAGCAAATCTGAGAATCCAGTGCAATCCTAGGGAATAAAGGAAGCAATTAAGGAGAATAAAGATGATGTGGAGGAGGTAAATATTTTCTTTGAATCAGTTTGCATTGTAGACGTTTCTGAGAAGATACTTACTCCAGATCTTCTCTTTTTCGGGTAATAAATATTGTCCTTTTCAGAGACAATTGTTAAGAGGAAATGATGGAACAATTTAGTGTATTATATAACAATGTCACCCAGATTGGATGACATACAATCAAAAGTTCTGAAAGAATTTAAGTTCCCCTCTGTCAGCAGACAGATTGAGACTCCAATCCCACAACAAGTAGCAAGCAGGCATGTATGTGGGCACAGCAATCTCTCCCCCCCTTACTCTATGAAGTGCAAGCTGAGGGTCCAAGTATTTCTTCAAAGTCTGATAGTATGTGATCATTAGTGTACTATTGTCTGTGGCAAAGTGTAGGAGTGGAGATAGTGAAGTAATAGGATGTCTATGTTATAAAAACTATCAAGGTTGGTGGTGACAGACTTTGCTGGGCCCTGGACAAGGTACTGTACTGTTAATTAACTGCCCAAAATGAGCAGTTGGACATGGAGAGATTGGTTTTGTTTTCTGTAAGTGGGGTTCAGCTTTCAAAAATTTAGGGGAGCTACCTCAAAGTGCAAAAGGAAAGGCTTCTTCCTCCTGCTCTGTTTTCCATCATTCAATTAATCGGTGGATTATTTGATTAAAATATAACAATTTGGTTTAATTATTTGGCCAAGGTTATTCAACCAGCTGTCTAATGTACACTGAACCCAGACTTTTTAGTTTGTGCCCAAAGTTACAGATAGATATGTCATGATTTACAGTGACCATTTCATCCGGTAGACTGCTTTTTACAGTGCCTAATGGCATGCAGGTATTTGCATGGCTGTTTGGTTCTCAGTGAATCTCACATTACATGGTTTATGTAAAGTAATGTTTTTGCAGGCTCCTGTAAATACCAGTGGTCTCTTTCATGTGTATGTGAAAGCCCATATGCAGGGGGGTTGCGAAGGATGCGAAAACACCCCTTATGGTGCCCCAAGTAAGTGTGCTCCAGCTGGCCAGGGGAAGGCAGGAACAGCACGCTGCCCGAGCCTTCCTCCCCCCATGCTCTGTTGGGCCAGGAGAAGGCTGGGGCTGATTTCCCCACTTCCTTGGGAGACCATAGCACAGGGGGTACATTCACACCCCTATGGTCCACATTTACAAAGAAAGCACCCACCACAGAAATTCCTGCATATGGGATGCATGAGAAATATTTCCTCCTGGCCTTGGGAGCAAGAGACCCGAAGTGATTTCATGCTGAAGCCAGTTCCCTCCTATTAAACTGGCCAGCTCAAAGTGGTTTTTATTACTTTTTATTTATTAGCCGTCCATTCAAGTGTGGACTCTACAACTGTGACAACCAAGGGGATTCTTATGCAAAGCAGGCACTTGCAATAATATTTAGATAGAGATGCAGAATGATCACTCTGTATCTGACCTCTCAGTCCTTGTCCTTCAAAAAACAAATCTATGAGCTTAAATTTATATTTTCTCTGTGCAAGGCACTGAGGCTCTGTCTACACTATGATTTTTGTTGGTACAACTGATATTGAAACATGAGTTTTTCTGACCAAGTGCCTGTCCACAGCCACACTTATGTCAGTGGGCGAAAATAAAGTTCTCTATCTCAAAACACAAGAACAAGGAGCCATTCAATTCAATAAAAAGGTGTCATCACACAAGCTGGCCTTTAAAGGAGTTGGGACTCAAGTTCATTTGTACCAGGCTTAACTTTCCTCCTCAGGAGCAAGCCTGTGACTAAAAACTACAGGCCTACAATCTATAAAAGTGGCTTGAGTTGACCATGGGGGAACTTGGGAAGGGAGTTTCTGAAGTAGAGGACAGCTAGCAGTTCTCCAGAGCTCCTTGGCAGAAGGATCTGGAGGGATAGGATCCTGTTGAGAGCGGAAGGGCATGCAGGAATCAGACACCTGCTGGGTATGAATCCCCAGCTAACAAGGACTGTAAAGAATTGTGAGCATTGAGGGAAAACTTTAAAAGGGGGAAACTGAGGCAACACCAGGCCCTGAAGCTGGATAAGGTAAGCCTTG